TCTCTTTTTCTGTGAAAATCTTTGCTAAAAAACTTAAATGAAAATTTCAAGTATGTCATTTAAGTTAATTATTAATTTAAATTTTATTATTCAAATTTTCTATTTATATATTTTAATAAAATTAAAAAATGCTATTTGATAAAAATGTTATTTTATATAAATTATATGTTCTTGCAATATAATTTGATCTTTTAAATGAAATATTTTTGAGAAAGTAAAATTTTTAAATTAGAAAAATTTTAAATATTTTTCTCTTTCCTTTTTAATGCTGATATCTTTTGAAAAAAGTCTATATGTTTCAGAGAATAGCACGTGCGAATATTGCAATAGGATTCCTTGAAATTTTAGATGCAAATTGATTACGCGTTTCTTCTTCTTATACTGTTATTATATTAAAAATACAAAAAAATACACTTCCGATATTAGGTGTTCTGACATGCGAGGCTGGCTGCGTTTTACAGGATTTGGAGAATCACTTGGCTACCGTTGGATTGATGATGCCCTTAGATTTGGGGGCTAAAGGCAGCTGTTTAATCGGCGGTTGCGTTTCGACTAACGCTGGTGGAGTACGACTTTTGCGTTACGGCAATCTTCATGGAAACATTCTGGGACTCGAAGCGGTAAGTCTAAATACGAACTAAAATTATTTTATAGTTATTTTATAGTTATTATTATATTTTATAGTTTTATATGTATAAGGAAATAATATTAAATAATTGTCCCTATTTTTTCAGGTAAAGGCAAATGGCGATATTGTGGATGCTCTGAATGTGCTAAAGAAAAACAACACCGGATATCATCTAAAGCATCTCTTTATCGGTTCGGAAGGAACATTAGGAATTGTAACTAAAGTTGTTATTCAATGTCCACCGTTACCGAAAGCTGTGAATGTCGCGTTTCTAAGTATGTAGTATGAATAAAATATAAAAAGTAGTATATAGTAGTATATTGTGTTAGATTGTCTGAAAAAAACCTAATTTTTAAGGATGTACACTTATGTAATTTCAGGATTGGCAAGTTTTGATAAGGTGTTAAAAACATATCATCTAGCGAAACGCCAGTTAAGTGAAATCTTGTCTTCGTGTGAGATGATGGATCGACTATCTTTGGATGTCTCCATTACTAATCTGGGCATGAAGAATCCATTGACAAGCCGTAAAAATGGTCATGAGTTTTACATGCTTATTGAAACTTCTGGTAGTCACTTGACTCATGACGAAGAAAAGTTATCCTCTTTCTTGGAGGAAGCAATTAACAACGACCTCATCGAAGATGGTACTTTGACTAATGAAACGACAAAACTTAATGTAAGTAATTAAAGGATTATATTTGCTATTATATTGCTATTATATTTGTATTATTTGAAGTAAAAAACTTACACTGGAAATTTAAGAAAAGAATATTTCATATTATAAGAATTAGACGACTATAAGTGGTCATGAAAGAGATTCGGAATATAAACAGCTAACAGAGAGGAGCCGTCGCGGTCGTGCAGATTAAGTGTCTTGGTAGTAGGATTTATTAGATTCAGAAAAATAAACGGAGACTGACTGGATTTGAACTCGGGAGGATCCCTCGCCTTTATTTTTCTGAATCTAATAAATATCTTTCAATATTATACTTGATTTTTAAAAATTTAATTGTTTGTATACAAAGTATCTCACATTGTTTCTCAAAATTTTATTCATTTCCAATTTTAAAGTAAAACATTTTATACAAAAGTTATAGATTTTCGAGGAGCACTAATTATTTTACATAAAAAATTAAGATACAAATATTAAAAAATGAATAATTTATGAAATATTTTATATTTTATGTCAGAATATTGCAAAAATAAAATATAAAATATGTAAACTAATTTTTTGACATTTATATTTTAAAAAACTTTTTTATCCAGATTAGAGGAATTATATTACGTAACAAAAAATATTTGATTCCATTAAAAAAAATAGCGATCATAAAAAATCTTGACAGTGGCGTCAGCTGCGAATGAATCAATATCATAATCATGATCTTCCTCGAAGCCTTACAATTTTTGTATAAAACATTTTTTTCTAAAATTGAAAATAAATAAAATTTTAGGGAATGATAGATTAAAATAAGACACTCTATATATTTAAATCGTGTTGAATTGATAAATTTGAAAGTAAAATTTTCAAATTTGGTCAAAATTTAAGTTTGATTTAATTTAAATTTTAATTTAATTAATTTAAATTGATTAAATTTGCAGAATATATGGGGACTTCGAGAAAGAATCAGCGAAGGTGTATTACGTGATGGTTACGTTTTCAAATACGACATTTCTTTACCACATTCGTTCTTTTATGAAGTTGTTGAAGTACTTCGTAAGCGAATACGTGATCCTCGTATTGTTAGAATAAGCGGTTATGGCCATTTAGGTATAATCTCTTTCAAATAAAGATGATTAAAAAGTATATGGAAATAATATCTAATATTTATGAATAAATTTTCTTTTTCTTTTTTTCTATTTTTAGGCGATGGAAATATCCATGTACAAGTCTCCATACCAGAATATTACAACGACGTAGCCGCACAATTGGAACCATTCATTTTTGAATATGTTTCTCAATGCCGTGGTAGCATAAGTGCAGAGCATGGAATTGGATTCAAGAAAACTAAATATCTTCATATGAACAGAAGTTCTTCCGAGATTGAGATGATGTACAATCTAAAGAAAATGATGGATCCAAATGGCATTCTGAATCCGTATAAAGTCTTAAAGCCAATTACCGAAGAATCATGATTGTCATAGAATGACGTAAGCCAAAATGATGTAAATTTTTTAATATTATTTACTATTATTTTATATTTTAATATCATTAATGTGCCATTTAAGTAGAATAGATAGGAGATAAAGCAAAGCTGTGCCGCTATCTAAATGATTATCTTGATATCTATGATGTCTATCTATAATTGAATTTAAAATGTTGACATATCATCGACATATTGTATGTTAAGGTTCATTTCTCTTGTCACAGCCATATTGATTTATGATATTTAAGTTAGAAATGAAATGCAATAAATTAATTGCTATACACAGCTTCATGTTTTAATTTTCTCTTAAAAACAATAATTTTGTGATCTTGAAACTTGTAAAATATGTGGAAAACTGAAACGTTTCTGATCTGTCATGTAAAAGTTATTTAGTTTTTACAGTTTTTTAAGAAGAACTAAAAGATAAAATTGTAATAATTTTATTATATATCATTTCTCGCCTATGTTATAAAATATGTTTATTTAAAAGAATCAAGAGTCTTAATACAATATGTTCGATCTTGCATATGTGCTGATTTCATATCCAAGTACTATATTTTTTTCTCTTGGCTATCTCTTTTCCATCTGTGGATAAAAGCAGATGAAATGTTACAGTGACTAATGTTTCACTTGAAATAGATACGAGGCGTAATTAGTAACAGCTATAAAGAATATCAAAATACAAGCCATATTCTCAGCTCATTTTTATCGATATATTTATACCGTCAATGATAATTACAAAATGCATGAAAACTATAAAAGCATTACTAAAATTATGCTTTATAATTATATTATTAATTAAATTTGTTTTAATTTATAAATGTTTAAATTTAAAATTTATTAAATGTGTGTCTTGTCATCAACACAATAGTGTATCTTTCTTATGTGATAAGTGCATATCTAAGCACATTTATTGGTGCACAGCTATCAAGAATAACATAAAAGTGCTATAAATATAATTTAGAATAGAATTTTCACTCTAAAATTATTCCTTTTAACCTAAGACTGACGATGTTCTTTTAAAATTATTAGTAAATATAAAAAAATCAAAAAATACAATACATTTATTATTATATTTAAGATATCGATGTATTTATTTATAAAAATGAGCAGAAAATACACCATAATCTTTACAAAAAGAATATTTTAAACATTTATAGTTATATATGTACATATAATTTTATATTGATATATAAATATGTACCTGATATGAAGATTGGAAGTAAATGAAGCAAGCAATTAGAGATTTAAATATTTAATGCAAAAAAGCTTCTTTTATCGCATATGTGCACATTTGCCTGCATTCAATTTAATTATATAAACGTTAAACAAAATATTTTTACTATAAAGTATTTGTACTATACAATTTTATTCAAAACAAAGTGACGACCTAATGAATAAAATAAATTTTTAATAAAGATTTTATTTTTGATATGCTTTTTTTGCTTTTTTCCTTTCTCTTTGAAAATGTTTTTTTTTTATATTTAATTTAAATAAAATAGATTTTTCGATAAATTGTAATTATAAAAATATCTACGTTTTTCGAGAACATATGAAAGATAAATTTGTAAGTTTGTTATTTTATAATTCTAAATAGCCATATAGAAACTGCCTTGAAAATAAAAGGATTAGTGTCGGTCCACAATAAGTATTTAATCTTTAAGCCGTAAGAAATTGACTAATCGAGTCACTAAAATAGTCACTAAAATAGTCGAGTATTCTTTTCATATTCGATTATAATTGGTCAATTTCTTACTTTTTAAAGCTTAAATCACCTATTGTGGACCGACACTTAAATGTCATTCAGTTTTAATTTTTATTGAATCATATATTGTATTATATTTTTGTCCATAAAAATAAATTATTATATTCTAATTTAACAAATAATGTTTCGATTTTGCAAATGTTTTTTCCGGATTTTTCGAGAGATATGTAGATATTTGAAAGAAACTTCGATTTGAATAAGTGATCTTACTGGAAGCAACGAGAAATTGAACGCGCATGCGCACCTTGCAGTAGAACTATCTCGAAAAGTGCGGCAATCGAATATAAACCGAGGCGATAGGAGCTGTTGCGCAGTTGATCGCAACACTGAATTGCTCGAAGGGAGTGAGTCTCGCAAATAATTTCTTATTGCGCAGTTTTACGAGTAATTTTGTGAATCGAGCATTCGACGTGCTTGACATTGATATTAACGAACAGAGCAAGTGATTTCTCAAAAAAAAAAGGTATGTATAGTGATTTACTTCCTATAAATTCATCGCGTTAGCATTTCATCGCATCAGCGAATTGTCCAAAAATTACGCAAATTAATTGAATTAGAAGTTTTTTACCGTGTTTAAAATAACGATTATTAAAGTTTTGTTATATAAAGAAAGAATTACGCCACAATTAAAAAATAGTTTATAAAATTGTTTGAACACAGTCCTTTTGTTTGAATAACTTTTACGTACGAGAAATTAAATCGTTACGATTATCTTATTTATTATGTGCAAATTTAATTAATATTTCTTTTTACAGTGATTGTTAAATTGATTTTTAAAATCAAAGTTGTTAAATATTCATCAGTTTTAAATAATTTTAAATAATTTTTTAATTTTTAATGCAAAAAATCGTTAGAGAATAATAAAAGAAAAGGAATGGTATTGATAGAATTATAGAATAAGGCACAAAAGGAAAAAAATCTTGATTAACAAAAAAAAATTGAAAAAAAGATATAGCTGTTTTAAATTGTAGATTTGACACTTGAGATTTTCGTTTGTTTTGAAGACGTATGATTTGTTCTATACGTCCTTACACTACTTACACTGATTGAAGGACAAAATGATATCTAAAAGTAATATTTAAAATAAATATCTCTGTTCTCTTTTGAAAAATTATATAATTTGAAAAACAGATATCATAATAGTGAGAAAGAAAACTTCGTTTATATTGTTTTCTAGATTTTAAACTAATCAGAATTTTTTTAGAATTCGACACTACATATTTCTTTTCATCAATTTTTGTCCAGTACACATCTATATTTGATATAATTATTTATATTCTATTTATTATAAACATTATTTTATTATTGTTTTATTAATTTTATTATTATTATTATTATTATTATCTTATTATTTTCCATTTATTATTAGCATTATATCTATATTTATGTATTATACCTCATTTAAATTTTGTTTGGTTATTGTCAATGTTTTTTTACCTTCCATAAATAAGCCGTCCAACACAGAAGCAAAAAATCTGTAATAAAAACGATAATAATTTATTACATATGACGGATGTAAGTCAGATGAACATTGATCTATTTCCTTGCATTTTTATTTGCTTGCAGAAAATCATGGCATTAGTATCGAGGAACATGTTCAACAATTGGTGGGATGATATAGACCGCTATCACCGTGAAATGGAGGAGCATCTCCGACAGTTGACTCCGCGCGACAACAATCTGTGGCGAACGCCGACGGTCCCGTTGTTACGTTCGTCGTTCTGGCCGTGGCGCGATATGTTTGAAAATATAGAGCGCGAGATGGGCGGCTCGGCGACAGTCGAACGCGACGAGAACAAGTACGAGGTAATCGTAGACGTGCAACAGTTCGCGCCGGAAGAGATCACCGTGCGCACCGATGACAAGTACATCACAGTTGAGGCCAAGCATCACGAGAGGAAGGACAAACACGGCTATGTGTCGCGACAATTTGTGCGTCGCTATCTGCTGCCTAGGGGCTACGACATCGGTCATGTGAAGCCCAAGTTATCGTCCGACGGCATCCTGACCATCACGGCGCCCAGACTGGCATTACCAGCGCCAGGCGAGCGAATCGTGCCGATTCAGCGAACCCATTTCCCGGCGATCAAGGCCTCGTAATTCGTTGGGAATGTTTCCGAATAACGCGAGAGTGGTCCAGTGTCTAAGAGATTAGTCCCGAAGATTGCCAAAATATCCGAATCATTTTTAGAACACTTTTGAAGCCGTTTTTAAGGTCGATAGTTTGTAAAATTGTGTGTAATAATTGCTTGTAATAATAATTCTATAATCTAGGAAGAATCGAAGAGAAAAAGAGAGAGAAAAACTTCGGATATTTGGACGATCTCTGGATATTTCTATCTTCGTCGAGTTTTAACGACCGGTTCGCGTTGTTCGGCTTTCCTCGTGAATGTCTATTATTATATTCAACCGATCAATGCGATGTACTCAATTTACTGTAAACACTTACTGATATGTATATTAATATATTGGTATTGTGTCTTGTATACTGAGTGATTCAAAACAACTATTTGTCCTTAAAAAAATTGTCATATTCCTGAATCGATTCTAAGATACTTTTTCCTTGACCAAATTTTTATTAGAAGCTTAGTTTTTTAATTATAAGAGAAAACAGTTCGCGAAGTACCGCATACAGAAGATAGACAACTCATTATTCGACGCGGGCGATTACGTGAGGCAGTCGATGCAATCAGCTGATAGCTACACGCGAGTATTGATACATGCAATACATGCATGCCTTGCATCTTACCACACATATGTGCGCGCGCGTGCGCAGATGCACGCACATGCAATCACCCGCGTCGAAACATCGCACCGCCCCTGCCTATCTTCTGTACGCGGCCCGTAATTCGCGAACTGTTTTCCCCTATATTCAAAAATTAAGCTTCTGATAAAAATTTGGTAGAGAAAAAAATCGTCTAGAATCGTCTCAGGAATATGATTTTAAGGACAAACGATTGTTTTAAATCATCCTGTATTAGCAAGAACGAGTTATGATAAATATTTGATTCACGGAGAATAAATTAAAAAACTTCAAAAGTAAATTTACATATAATTATTTAAAATAGAATCGTCCAATTAAGATTTTTTAGAAGCAGAAATAACCATCAATTTTGTTCGATAAGTATCATGACTCATTCTTTGCGCGTTTGATTGTGACGATAACATATAATTAGGTATAATTATAGAAAATTGTACAAAAACTGGTATATATGTGTATAGTCGTATTAATTAATTTTTTGTAGCTTTAAAAAATACGTTAATTAGTTGACAACAACATTGTTAGTTTCACGATAGCGTTTAACGTTATATCATTCGGATTCGTCTCAGCGATTGGTTTCGAACAGTTCATACTGCCGTGACTCTATTAAAATTACACTCTATTAATGTAACAATTGCTATTGCGTATTCTGCAGAGCTTATCGATCTTATGTAATTGTTCACTTAATTTATTCGCGTTAGCTTGATAATTCGATTTAGAGTTTGTACTTATAGATTGTTTACGTAACAACTCTTTTTGGCAAGGAATACGAGTTGCATAAAATGAATATAAACGACATAGTTAAATCATGCGATATTACTTGTCTCTAGCCAGGAAATAGAGTTATAAGTGAGATTATGTAATATGATCTTTGATTTGGTGTTCATATTTGAGTCAGACGGTTGTAATTGTGTTCAAATAACGATTAAACGCATATAAATATTCCCCATTCAATGTTACTTTTGCGATATTTTTCGAATATTTTTTTGTAATTTTCATTTTTTATTAAGCTTAATATAATATTTCGCTTAATATAATATTTTCTTCAATAAAGATTGAATTTCAGTTTATTTTTATATGTTATTATTATCAATTTTGTTGTATTATCAATTTTAACCATTTTATATGTATATAATTCTTATATAAAAATTTCTAATTATGTCCTAATTATAATATATATTTCTAATAACATCAATAATATTTGTCTTTAAAACAAGTAATAAAAGTGATTTAATCTCGATATTTTTTTGAACAATCAATTTCAATATAAGTAGTTTAATTATGAAGACCAATACGTTTCTTCTTAAAAATGCATTCTTCTTGTTAAATATTCATATCTTAACGATACATTCGTGACACATCAAAATGTATGTACGTAGAAAGTAGAAATAGGCCACAATAAATATTTCACCAACTTAAGCAGATTGTTACTCAATTATATATGCAACATAAGTTATGCATATTTCAAATCTTAAATGTAAGTGTAAAGACATGCATACATTTTTCACTTCTTCCATTCCTTTTTATGTTGCGAAGTCTGTTTTTGGACGATCTGTAATTTGTGATGGAATTCTACTTATAATTTACAATTCAAATGCATGTTGCGTGACGTATAGGAACGTTTAAAGAATTAAAGGACGCACGTGTAGACTACAATATACGTAAAGTATACGTATAATGTAACGTAAAATTATAAATAGAATTTTATCGAGTTATTGATCGTCTAAGATAGAATTAAACATGTTTATTGCTAGATTGTTAATTATGATTGAATTTTTTTTTTTACGATGGCCCTCGTTCTTCCTCACTCTCAGAGAATGGCATTAGATCATCTTGATTGTAGGATGACATTGTCGGTTCTTCTAAAATCGTTTCTTCTGCTGGTACTAGACCTTGCATCCATCTAGCTTGTTCCTCGATCACTGGAATTTTCTCATCAATCAATTTCTCCGTGTCCACCTTGTCCAATTCCTCTTGAATACGTCTTCTCAATGGTCCTTCAATCGCGTCCATGATTTGATATCTACGAAAATAAAGCATTAAAAAAGAACGTTGGAAATTTATAAAGAAATCTTAAATAAACGAAAAAAGCGAAATTTGTAGGATTGAATAAGTTAAGTAATATTATTTTCTGACTAAATTAAGTTAAAGTTAATGGTTTATAAAATTAATTTAGTTACGTTAAAAGATACATGAACCAAAAACTAATTTAGTTAAAATTAAATTTAATTAAGTTTAATTAAATTAAATTAAATTAAATTAAATTAAAAGTTAATTTTAAAAAGCATTATTTATATTAAATTAAAATATAAATTTTTTAAATTAAAATATTCTAAGTAACAAAACAGTTACAATGTAGATCATCGAATAAATTTAATATCTTTGACATTTGAATATCTAAAAGGGAAATTCATAAATATATGTTTGTAATTTTCTTTAGTCTCAGATTAGCTTAATCATTGTTTATAATACCTTACTTTAGACCTTATAGAATTTTACGAAAACTGAAAAAAATGTGACAAAAGACTTTTTCGACATAAAATAAAACTGTTTTAAAACTGAGAATTTAAATAAAACGTTTGTTTCGAATTTTCGAAGATTATTAAGAATACCAGTTTTTTTTTCATTGGATAAATTTCCTAATGCTCATTGTCATTCGATCGCAGTGAGAAAATCGCCGATTACGGGCGTCACCTTGAGATTGGCGCGAGACGCATATCTTGCAAGGCCGCTGTTATTACGGTTTTACCTTAGAAGGTTCGGTAATATATTAACTGCCGCTTCCACAAGATAGTCGATTGTGACCGCGCCGTGGATTCTCGTCTGGATGTTGCCCAATTCGAGCTCCAGTTCTTCCAGGGTGGCGCGCTTCCGCGTGTCCAACGGCTGCCTCAACTTCACCTGCACCCGGAAGTATTGGATGGTGAGGGACATGGTGCCGGCGCGCGACAGGAAGCCGCCGATCACGCTCACCTCCCAGTGCGTCTTGCCCTCCAGTTCCTGGGTACCGACATCCACGAGCGCGTATATCTGTACAAGGCGTCGTAGTGCGTATTAGTGTAACAAATGTCGCCTACGTGCGCGCAAACCCCCCAAACCACGCTTTGCATCGGCTACAAGCGCGATACCTTACGTAATGTTTATGCAACAACATTGACGATTATGATCAATGCAATTGATTTGCATCTGGCAAAACTTAATTAAGTTCATCGTGGACAAAATTTATTCAAATTCGACTAAAACTCGTTTATTTGAATAATGTTATTTTCTTCAGAATGTATATATAGGAGCCACTTCCACGGTACTTTTATTGCTAGAAACATTTGAAGTTCTTTAAATGTGCTGATACATGCAAATGTGCTAGTTATTATAAATTAATATAAATCTCTTTAAACATTACTAGTACTTACATTTCCATTTTCCATTGTAAGAGTTACATTCCCCATACGATAGAAACTGGCTACGCCGGTGATCCAGGTGTGCGATAAAGTCACTGTGAATATACCGACGCTTTGCGTATAATCCTTCACTTTGTACGGATCATAGCCCATTTGAGAAACTTGCTTACGGGCCTCTGCGATTAACATATCGAAGGGTGAAATCGAATTCGGGAAGTATTGTGGTAATTCTGATATCTGCTTGTTCACTTCACCCCTAGAATACGCCATATTGTGAAAACATAATTCGAGAATTTACTACAAATTCAATTTAAATTGAATTATTTAAGGAAAGAAGGAAAATAAAACAAAGAATTTATTTATTATGTTGTAAAAATGCATACAATTTTATAAAAGAATATGTAAGATTTATATTAATAGATCGCTAAATATTAATATTTAAAAAAATATATAAATATAATTTATTTATATATTATATATTTTTATATATTATATATTTAAAAAAATATATAATATATATAAAAAAAAGAATAATGTCAATATCTAAATTAAATTTTTAATCAACAACAATATTTATTTATTATCGTTTGGAATTATTAATTTTTTAATCAATATTATTCGTGCAATTTTCCTCGATATTTTCCTTGTTTTCTATTCTTCTAAATTATTTTTTTATTTATCATTTTAGATATGTTTCGATATAAACAAAATATATTTTCAAAAATCAATCAATCGTACCCACCTTACGTTAGTATTAACTTCTTTCAACATAAATGGTTTGATGCTGTCAAAAATAAAGGTCCCTACAGAATTGATGACGCCTTGAAAAACAGAACCGAGGAACCCTAGATTCTTAAAGTCCAGATCAATTTTATCAAAAGTCAGATCCATGTCAATGTTTTGAGCTTGCAATTTGCCATCGGTGCCCACCTCCAGCCTGGCGACACCTTCGACGTTCACACCGGTGAGTTTTACAGTAAAATTGCCAGCGGATCTCGAAAGCCATGACGCCAAAGTATACAATCCACGAATGTCAAGACTGTCGATTTTTACTGCGACGGATACCTTAAAAATACATTTGCTTTTATATTCACAAAAGTTAGAAAAAAATATTAAAATATATATAATCTACAGTGTATTCTATAGATAGTATAAATAATATTTCAAGATACATTTTTGCAATTTATCAGTCTAAATATCTTTCCATTTAATTGAACAAAAATTACTTTGAATTAATCAAAAGACTGCATTTTGCTGTGTAAACGTTTCTTTTCATTTTTATATAGCATTGCAGTATCATTATCATGTTTCTTCTACGTCTGCTTGAAATGTGACGTATTTTATTTTTTATGTAACAAACGCGTGTTCATATAAAAGTCTAAATAGTCTTGTTTATTAAAAGCATGTTATATGAGCATATAAAATATTATTTTTTAACATTTTATTATTATTTAACAGTCATATAAGTTTAATATTATTTTTTAACAACATATTTCTTTATTAGCTAAAAATTAAATGTTACAGTTAGAATTTTTGTTATAGTTTTGTATTATTGATTTGACAGGGAAACTGGTTGAAATTGATTAATAAAATTTATAATATTATACTCATCGTAAAGGTAATGCTTCGTATTAATATCGTATTTATAATTACTTTCTCTTTCTTTTTCTCAGTTTACCTGCATACGTGCCAGTTCCGATTCTACATGCTCGATACGGAACTTAGACAATCCGTAAACGTTAATTTGCTTAAAATTCATAGTATACATGGAGAAGGAATGCTTCATGTCTGGGACTGGCATTGGATCCGGTATCGGCGCGCCTGGAAGTCCAACCGGATCATCTTTCTGATAATGCTTAAGAATCGCGCGAATCTGATCCCCGAGTCGCTGCTCGCCCGCTGCCATCTGAGCTGCTTTGCTTTTGTCTAAAATAAATTAAAAATAAGTCTTCAGCTAATCAATAAGTCAAATGCCGACGTCCCAAAGTTTTTATTAAACGTAGATTAGCCATTTTATTAAAATTATTAACATAGATACAGAAAATTAATTATTAAGATTTTTACGCGGTATTTGCAAGATATAAATCTATTTTGCGACGATTAATGTTATGACTGCTCTTTGAACTGTACATTATTGCGCAAGAAAAATGAATCGTTTATGAACTGTAACGTAATAAGTAATCTGCTGTATATATTATCCAGATAAATAGCGTAAATAGCGTTAATCGTTTCTTTTAATACAGTTGAAAAATTAATTTTTCAAAATTTGACTTTTTCAAATAATCAGTTTATATTTTTCAACAATTTATTATATCGATAATTTATAGGAAATCCAAATAAGCAACTATTAAAGAAAAATTATGACTTACGTTAGCTTACATCATTTCATCAAATGATTTATCAAGTATAGAATATAATATAAAATAATTACAATAAAATCATGTCTTCTATTCAATATTTAACTTAACTTTATTATATTCATCAAATAATTATATTATATACTTAATTATTATATTATATATTATATTATTATATTTAAATAATTTATACATTTAACTATTAACACAGAGTTAACAGGAAATAAAGATCAATTGGGAAAAACGTGATTCTTTGATTCACACAATATTCAGTTCGATCATCCTATATTTAAATAATTTATGATAACAAAAACATAATATTGGATTTTAATACTGGGAAACAGAGTTGACAAAAATCACGTTAAACAAGGAATGCCGTACCCGTCGAAGATGATAAGGCATCGTTTGTTTTTGACTCGGCGCCTGCACACATGGAACACAGGAAGCATATCACCAAGAAAATTGTCGTGTACACTTTCATTTCTGATCTCATCAAGCGTATTTGTTTGCACCACGTGTTACTTTTCCAACGTTACTTTTCTCACAATTTTAGTAAACAATTTTTAGTTCGATGTGACCGGTAAAAAAAGAAAGTATAATAAAGTGTAATAAAAAAAAATTCATAAATTTCTCAGAAATTTCTCTAATTGTTTTCTGTTTGCGGCCCCTCAGAAATTTTTCACTATTTATTCTCGAATTAACACACTCGATTCGCGAGGTAGTATATTAATTAACACGGACAATTTTACGGTTGATCTGCAACACACCTTGTCCTTCGCTAGCACTAATGTTTTTCTCTCTACTAAAGTATAAATGCTTATCACGACGAGCGATATAGCCAGTATCTGACTCTGAAGGCGTGTGTTCACGCGTTTGACTGGCCGAGAAGGCACGTCAGTGAATTTAGTGGAACGATATCTCCGATAGGTCATTGAGAGGGCGAGGGTCAATCGCTTTATCTCTCTGTTCGTACTCCCCTCGTTACCCTTCATCTTGCCTTGTTTCTTCCCCTTACCCGCTTGTTTCTCTCCTATTCATCCGATTCTCATTTCTCTTTTTATAGAATTAGCGTACGTCGCGTAGGTCGTGTTGTGACAATGTTATGTGAAAGGTGTCGGTTATGTGAAAGGTTAATTAATGATGATTTTTTTTGTCTCGGATACGATATATGCTTGAGGTCTTACGATTAATATTATAAGAAACTGTAATTATCAAATTATTTGTGTTAAGAGATCTCCGAAATATATCAGTGGTAATCAATGATAGAAAATTTTTACCCTGAATCTGATTTGAAAGAAGCGTTCTTACTTTTAAAAATACAATGTTGTAATTTAAATATATTTTAGTCTTAAGTTTTAATATATAATCAAATTTGTTTATATAATAAATAATATGATAAGTGCTTAAAATATTGTAATTTAAATAGATTATATCTTTCTTTAAGATTTTCCTTTTGTTAATAATATTAGATGTATAAATTTTTTTTATATAAAATGTACTAATTTAAAAATATTAAAAGAAATCTATTGAGATTAATACGAAAAATATACCGTAAATATTTTGTAATTTTAGATTTTAGTAATCTCTATTTTATCTAATTATTTAAAAGATAATCTAAATCAATATACTTGTATCAATAGATAGACTTATATAATTTTCGAGTCGATCGACTGCATCGCAAGACAATCAGCTTTCGCATCCGGTTTGCGTCCCGGCCCTAATAACATTGTTCCGGACATTAAATGAATTTCCGTTGTGTCGTTATAGTAGTTGAGATGTATGATCTGCTAAGACTAAATTGCAACGAGATTTGTTAATTATAATTAGTTGTACGTAGATTATTAAAATATTATAATTAGTAGATTTAATAATTATAATTACTAGATGTTAATTATTAAAATATATAAAAAAAATTGAGATTAAAATTCAGATTCTTAAATGGCATTTTATAGGAAAAGATCTACGCATTTCATTATACATATTTGATAGTAAACTGGACTATTCGTACTCTCGTGGCATCTTGTTAAAAAATGCAGACAAATTGTAATAGATGTCGCTAATATACATTAAAATGAATCATTCAAGGTGTGACGCATGATAGCAATGTTTAATAATAATATATTTAAAATTACAATAATTTTTAGTGTATGGAATTTGCTTTTAAATATGACAATCGAGACAGATGCGAAATAATTTAAATACAAATTTGTGACGAATTTAACGCGTTATCCTACTTTGAAATTTTTAAAAAAATCAAAATTTTTTTCTCGTTGAAGGAGGATAATAAAAAAGATTTTTAATCAATATCAAAAATATTTGATTACCAAATTACAGAATCGCTATTTAGGAAAATAAAAGCTTTCTAACTCACGATTCTGATAATATTTTTAATTTACAAATTATAATAACATTTATAATATCAAAAAATATTACAATACTATACAATACAATAATACAAAAATTCAAGCATTTTATATTTTCAATTTTGAAAAAAAATAGAAAAAAGTCGGTCAAATGACAAGGAGTATATTAATTTATGACACTATTAATTTTTTTTTTGTTTAAGATAATCAAATTGGCAAAAATCGTTTACATCGTTTCCTGGCACAGGCAAAGTTTTTCACGTAAAGTGCTATATTTATAAAGGATAGTCCCTTAAATTTGTGACGATTCGAAATCTATCGAAATGCAAAGGTGCGATTTTCAAAATATCGATGTATCGATATTAGTTACGATTTTAGCATGCACTTCAGCATTGATTGACTATTAATGCGCATGCG